AGAGAGAGAGAGAGAGAGAGAGAGAGAGAGAGAGACCGCCCTGAATAAATTAGAACTTTCATAGACCGTTAAACCTGAGTTTGTGATTTCTCCGGTGCACCAAAACACTACGTAATTAGGAACAGCAGCAGACATCTTGTGTGAACCCAGTTGCGTTTCAGATCAATTTCAATACTAGTTCTGACCGTTGTGCTGCCCCCCTCTCTGCTTTTAATAAGACCCTGTAAAATATACCCAGTGTGTTTTCTGTCTTCAGAATCTGCATACCTATTTCAGCTCAGTTACTCAAGTACTGAAGTCAGAAATCTAGGCAACCAGTACTCCCCCAGAAATTCATCAGAAGTTTTACTTTAAAGCCATTAAAAATACGTTGAAGATATGATGGAGAAAGGACACTATAGTCCAATGCAAATTGCAGAATATGAAAAATAAATCATCTTACCTTCTACTAGACTGTTGGTTCATTTTAGTAGATGCCAGGCTTCGATTTTTGTTCCCAATTTGTAGTATCTTGCATGCTTCCTCTGTGCTGGTAATATTGAACCACTTTAAATCTAAAAAAATAAAAATATACTCAGATCTTACTCATTAGAAAACATGCCATGCAGACCAACAGCAGCACAAACATTAAAAACCTATCAACACTTCACAATATTGTGTGGCATATATCCCTGTGTAAAATATAGAAGGTTTCTGCTTTAATTAAACCAAAGCCAGGAAGTTGTTTTGGCAGCAATACAGTAAAGTGAAAGACAGGGGAAAGTCTTTAAGAATATGCAAAAACTCATGTTACATCTCAAATATCTGCCATAATAAACAAAAGCTCACGTATGCATGATATAGGCAATAATTCAGATTTTACTAAAACGTGAATATTTTAAATCTCTGCCATAAAGATTTGCAATTCCCAAAACTTGTTGGGATTCTACATGCAGCGCTGATAATTGCATATCATAACTGACCACTTCTCATTACTGTACATTCTAGAATAAAGCCAGGATTACCTTTTACATAAGAAATTCCAGCTTGATCATCGCATATTTTCAAGGTCAGCCTCTTTTGGTTTTTTGAAGAGGGGAACTGGTCTAGCAAGTCATAGACATACTCATTGTAGATCTCAAAGAACGATACCCATGCAGAGAACTGATGAAGGTTTTCCTCTTCTCCATCTGGAAAAATAAAGCAACTTTACTTGTAGATTGTAAGCACTCAAAAAGCAAGGTCCTTCTAACCCTTTTGTATTGTAATTGTAGTCTCCTCATGGGTCATAAAGCGCTGCACAAACGGTGGGCGCTATACAAATCCTGTAGAATGGTCACCTAAATTGAAGGCCGCATTCTTTGCCTAACAAGCAAAGATAAAACAAAAGCCAGCTGAGAAAAAATTACTTGACCGCAAAAACTGCTGGCTGACAGCATTTAGTCTTCAATGCTTTAGATAATTTACTGTAAAACATATGCAGCAAGTGAAGACCGTGCTCCTAAATTGGATACTTTTTCTGGTTTAGGGACTCAAGTTAAAGAAACTGCATTCTAAGACTTCAGCACCTTCAGAAAGTACAACCTACATTATTCTGTCATGACACGTTTCCTACTAAGGATGTTTTTATTTAACAGCAATTCCTTTACCAAAGATTTCCCACGATGACACCTTCAGAGCCAAGCTACACAGGCAATTTTAATCTCTTGCTAGTGAGATTGAATCTGTTGCCTCATTAAATCAAAGCTGTTCATGCGATTTTCAGTAGTTAAAAGAATGGAGAAATTTTTTGTTTCAGATGGAATGTGGAATGATTAGACCTACCGCCATGTTTTGTTGCTGCATCTCTGCTGGGGAGATTCATCCTCTAGTTTGTCCTGGTGACTACTGTCACCCAGACAAAGTGAGGAAAGATTCTAAAGTCAGAGTTGTCAAGAGGCGAAGTAAAATCTTCCAATGGGGACACATGCCAGTGACAATTGTCTGCTATGACATTCCCCTCACTAGGAAGATTCTCACTTTGTTGCACCACCTGAGAGAAACCAGATTTGTTTTTTTTGTTTTTAAAACTCCTTCACGCAATAGGCTAAAGAAAGACATTTTGGCTACAAACTTCAAGCTACTAAAATTGCAATAGTAACCAATGAACAAATGGGGCACTATCACACAATACTCCAATCATGTGCTAGTAACGGCTATAGAAGTTATTTGTATAGCTTATACTATATAGTGGCCATTTGTTTGATCAGATCAATGAAAACCATCGTTACTATATAGATTGCATTGCAGTGCTCTTATTGTACAGGTCAACAGTCAAACACTTAACCCCAGCACACAGTCTCCCCTTAAGAAAAAAAAAAGCCTGGCAGAAGACATGCAGGATGGTCAAGCAAGCATCATGTTTATAGCAGCTCTTGTGACCTTTGCCCCACCCCAAAAATGGATCTCATTACACAGCCAAATGCTGAAAGGCACCCAGAGGGCTGCTGGCTTTAGACAGGTACATATGCGTTCATGGTTAAAACCCTTTATTAAACACAGAACGGAGGCTCTTTTTTTCTTAATGTCTAGCCTCAGTCAGATCAGAGGCTGAGAAATTTCCAGCATCTAATGCACAAAGCAAGGACTTTGCAGAATATCCCTAGTTTTTTTTTCTGTGTACTTCAGTTTACCCGGTCATAGGTTTTCCTGCATACAATGCATCTTCCACTACTGAATTATGTATTTGCATGCAAAAGTATTAATGTGGCAAACAAGTGCACTATAATAGAAAGTACACTTATTCCATTTCCCCCCTCACCTAACAGAGCCCACCCATCCCCTTCAGATTTATACTTGCCAAGATTAGCACCCGTGGCCTCTGGGGACTGTTTAAATCCTGTGCCAAACTTATTTCACTGACTGCTGGGTCTGTACAGTAGAGCTTACTACCTCTTAAATATTTGTGTGTGTGATTTTACAAAAAATGTAAACAAATTTACAATGAAGTTGTAACCACCAGCAGCTTTTGTTCACATTTACCTTTTATAGGTGAAACGTCATTGCTGGTGGGCACATTCCGGAGATTTCCTGAGCTTGGAACAGTCTTCAATCCATCCTGTAATCAAAATCATTAAGTACAGTAATGCAAATGTATGTCTACCACGTTTACCTATACAGAGCACAAAGCAAGAGCTACACCAAGAATTTGTGTACTTAGCCAGCTGGCTTCATACACACTGTCCTGGTGTCAGGAAGAATAGGAGGCATGGGAATGCTTGCTGAGCTCTGATATGTGAACAAAGACCAATTTTTGGCGATACACTGCAATTTTAGGCAATTTCAAAAAAGGCTGCATATCCCAAAATTATCAAATGGTAACCCATCATATTTGGGATATAGTGTTGAAGATATGCTTGCTCTGTTCCAGCCTTTAATCCCTCCCCCCATGCAAACACCCCACACACCCCCATCTGAAATTGCCAAAAAGAATTAAACATTTTAATGCATGCCCAGTAAATATATATAAAATGTTGCATATGTATACATGTAATCTTGACAGTAATGCAAGAGAACACAAATTGTAGCACATCATTTCTGGCCTCACTTTAAGCTAGAACAATAATGCCATCTTGTGGACAATTTAGTTTCAGATTCTATTTTATTGATGCCACAAACCTCTTTCAGGCTAGAGAGGAGAGATGCTTTTGCAGCTTCCTCCTGTTTGACTTGTGCAGGGTCTAATTTCATGACATCATTGCCAAGATAAGGTTTTAGAGTCATCTTGGGGTACTGCCGACCTCTGATATAACCGAAAATCACATCCAGTGAACGAGGAAGTATGCCACCATCTTTTGGAGTGCCTGCAGAGGGTAAACCAGTTTGTTACTGTAGAATAGAAATTTAAAACAGTTCTTGTATGTTAAAATGTACAGTTACACACCATGGAGCCATGTGCTATCAACCTTTAACCTGTTCACCTCCAGCTGTCACCAATGACCTTTCCAAAGCTTTAAGGTCACTTAATCTTGGGTATAAAAAGAACCCTCACCAGCAATAAGACATAGAAAAGGACACCTTGCAGGGCAGTCCAATTCTTAAGACAGAAGTGAAAATATTGACAAAGATGAGTATTCCTTCAAAGCTATTAAAATGAGACATCCATTCAACTGTAATTAGTGACAGATACGTATATCCAAGGGCTTGTTCACACCATCTGTGTTTTTGCCACATCTTGATGTGTTCCAGGGCATTTCTTTCTCTCAATAGGCTTTCCAGTTTCTTCTGTTTGCATGCGCTTACATGTGTTTGTGCATTCCAGACCAGAAGAAATGTGACATGCTTGACTTTTTTTGAAAGCTCTGGAACTGAACTCAGAATAACCATTGGAATCTATGAGGAAGTATTTTTGGACCTGAAAAAGGTTTTCTGGGCTGAATCTGGTCTGGAAATGCTGTGATCACACCCTAAAGGAACTTTGTTTCCCATTTATTGGAAAGAACCAAGTTAGATGGCTTTAAACTTACCCGTGTCTTCTCTGTGCGCTCCCGTCCGAAAATGTGAAAATTCTCGGGCGGCCGCAAAGCATCTTGGGGTGGGCGCATGCGCAATTCACATTTTCGGCCAGGAGACAAGGATAGACGCAAGGCAAGTATATGGACAGCGTGCACCTGCATGCAGACACCGTGGGACAGGAAGTGCCAGCAAGGACAGAGGAGTCAGCGCTGGATCAGGGACCTGAAGTAGCGCTGGAGGGACAGATGAAAACGATAGGAAAGAAGATCGGATTAAAAAAAAAAATAGTTCAACAGTCATTTGGTCACATGGCCGCTTGCCATGCCATCAAGAAGCAGTTTCTCCAGCCAAGTTAAGCAATACAAGACTTTTGTAGAGTGCCTATGGGAAATCTCATTTTATTAAACAAAGTGCTCATACAGAAACGCTATGCACTCTCCCAAGTAAGCTGAATAAGGTATCATCATCTTAGAAAATGGTCTTACCCTTGGGGGTCAATTCTTTGCCCCTACAAAATTCACTTAAAGGGTTGAGCTTAAGGTCTCGTTCACACCTAGGCGTATTGCATATGTGCGACCGTCGCGCGTTTTTTTACTGCGATCCGCGGTAAAAAAGTCACGCGACCGTCGCGCGTTTCCGAAGGCTACTTGGCTGTATCCCAATGGAAACGCGCAACAAAACGGCCCAAAGTAGTACCTGTACCTTTTCAGGCGTGGGCCGTTTTGTAGCGCTTAGGGACGGGCGGAAATACGCCAAGGTGGGAACGAGACCATTGAATACAATGGGATTTATATTTTTGAGCGTTTTGTAGAGCGTTCGTCGAGCGTAGAACGCGCTACAAACGTTCAGGTGTGAACGAGGGCTAAGTGACCTCACACACTTCTGTTTAAAGTGTATTGTGCCATTAAAATTGTTGGGTTTTTTTTACCAATTACAGAACGTCAACTAAAAACAAACAAAAAAAAAACAAAACCTAGATACCTTGTATTGTAAATGTTTTCCCAGCATTGGTGACACCATATGTGAACACAAGCCCATTCTGCCCTTGGGTAAAAGAATCCACTAGATCCTTCATTGTGCCATCAAAAAATTCAGCTTGTGTTGTCTCTGGTCCAAATATCTGTAAAAGTTCAAATAGTAAAGATGGACAAAGCAAAAGGCACAACCCAAGAAAAATAAAATGATGAAATAACCTTGGTGAAAGTAAACTTGTGCACAGATTGTCCAATTCCCCTTTCACAGTTTTTCATTGCAGCGGAGTCTTTAGGCGCACTAAGAGAAACCAGTTCCGAGTTTTCAACAGTTACACAATCCTAAAAAGAAATGTGGGGGAGAATTATTAACTGAAATGCAGTTTGCCATTTTTATATGCAGCCCCTACCGGTTGCAAACCATTCAGCAATGTAATCAATTTTCATCAACCCCATAAACCAAAAGGCTCCCACATACAGAAACCACAGAAATAATCAGACACACCCATCAACCCCCTGCTCTTAAAGTGCTGCAATACACCCCACTAAGTGTATAATAAGATTGTAAACACCAACCTGGGACTCATTGTTTGCAAGCTCGGTTTTGGAAAAAGGTCTTACTCTCAAGTACACCTTCAATGGATGTGAAGTTTTCTCATTAATCTTTAAACAGACAAATAAAAAGTAACATTTACAAAATATAAAATCGTTAAATTAAAAAAAAAAAAAAAGAAGTCCATCATCTCGAGGCATAAAACAGATTTAGAGAATAAACATTTACCTGACATTTTCCATTCCAGTAGAAACAAAATGGCTACAGGCCACGTCTTAAGGTGGCCATAGACCTTACAACCATTGTACAACTTTTTTTGTCCAGACATCTCATCCTGGTTCAATTTTCTTACAACTAGCCCATCACTCACAGACCAATGTAGTTCACATTTAACGTTCATCAGCACCACCATCTGGCTGATTTTAATCTTGACATTTTTGTTGTACAACAACGCCACTAACCTGTCCAACTAGACAAAAGTTTTCTAGCCTGCTTGAAAGACAAAAATCTACCAGTTGGACAGTTGAGGTTGTGCACTTCCCATCAACTGGCAGATTTTCATACGAAAACACAATCACAGACAAAAATCTCTAGATAAAATTGTAAGGTTTGACTTTGTCTTGCGATGGTTGTAAGGCAATTTAAGAAAAAAAACTTACGATCTGCCCATCTTGGACAGGCAGATCGTACTTGGGCTTCCGATGACCTCAATGCTAAATGGGTAGTGTGCGCTTGCGCACACCGGCCCATGTGGTTTTTTGTCTTGCGAACATGTCACAAACCAGCCGAAAATCGTACGATGTTCGGCTGGTTTTCGAACATGTTCCTAAGAAAAGTCGTGCGACCTTACAGTAGCAGAGGTCGCACACCTTCCACACACCTTGCGATAATCGTACGATCGCGGGATTACCCGCGATTATCGCAAGGTGTGTGGGCACCTTTACCAAGATGCCACATTATGCAGATAATATATCTCTACCAAAAATGATACATTAAGGGAATAGTTGATTCTATACCAATTTTATTGCTTATGGAGATCCCTTATTTAAAGTAACATCTGCCACACCGAAAGGGATATTGTACAATCAGATTATGATTGTGTCTGGCCAGCCTTAGTTCAATGGATCAAAGTATGCAGACCATTCTTCAATGATTCTGGAACTGCTTACACACAAAACCCTAAATGGACAGAACCCGGAGATATGATCTATGAATGAAACCTTGAATGATAGAATACTCTCAATCTAAAAAACACTCAAGTTTCCATATGGGGAAACAAGGATACCAACAGAAAGGCCAGGCGATTCACAACTCACTGAAGAGGGTCCAAGTCCCTCCTTCCCAACCTGGCTCATGCAGTGACAAAATGGAAATTAAACCGATGTAAGCTTTCAGCTTCTGCAATTCCATTTAAAATATCAGTGTTGTTCTTTGGGAATTCAAATCAAATGATAAGCAGCAGTACTCATTACAGACACAAAGCCAAAACTGTGCTAAAAATCACACTCCTGCAGAGGACACCAATAAGAATACAGCTCGAGTGTTTTTGCAAAAGCATTTCAAGCGGCTTCCCCTCAAGTAAATTAGGGATTTTAAAGCAACATAAAACTCAGGAGTTAAATCTTAAAAATGCATTTAATTAATCCAACTATTTATAATACTGGACCTTATTTGTGTATCACTCGGCTGTAGAGCCTCAAATCATCCCTGAATTGGTGCTGACACTGTCCTTTTTGAAGGGTGGCTACTTTTGTTCCCCATAAGGTCAATGTAAAGTAGCCACCACTCCGAGCTCACTCCCATGATGGTATATAACTTCAATACAAATTAGCTAACTGAAAGTGGCCATACACTTAGATTTATCTGCAGATTTTCTATGGTCAGATGGAAAAAGTGCAACAGATTCCTCCATCTACGCTAAACTGTGTGGACAGAGGAATCTCCCACTGGGCCAAGCTTCAGTATCTTGCTAGTCGGCCCCGCTGGCTGTCAAGATACCTGAACAATCTGATTGGATGAAGGCATTGTTCAGGGTTTTTTTTCTTTTTTTGAGAGCCAGCACGGCTGACTAGCAAGATACTGAAGCTTGGCCCAGTGGGAGAATTTTCCATCTACACAATTTACTATAGATAGAGGAATCTATTGCACTTTTTTCATCTGACCATAGAAAATCGCTTAAATGCAAGATTTTAGTCTATCATGAAGCAAGCTTAGAGCGACGGCTACTTTTCAACACACACAGGGAACAAAAGTAGCCACCCTCCACAGTACTCACAGTGTCAGTACCAATTCAGAGATGATTAGAGCATCTAAAGCGGAGTGATTTAATGAGAAAGAAAACAGTACAAACACACTACAGTTTGGAGCATCCCCACTTCATCAGGTGCACAAAGTAATTATCAATCCACTTCTACCCTTGCTGAAGAAAAGTTACACCAACTGAGTTGTTACCTATAGAAACCTCTTCTCTCATCCCATTAATTATATACACACACATAACATTTTTGACTTTTCAATGCACAGGGCTGCCGAAAGGGGCGTAGAGTTAACCCTTCTGTATTGGGTTTAGGCCCCACCAGTTTAGCAAGGGGCCCAGGGCAGATTGGGGACTCAGTAATTACCTTTGGGTGCAGGTGGAGTAATCCTCCTGCCCACGGATCTCACAAGCAATTAAGTAAAAGTTCTAACTTCTTGTACATCAATCTGCAAATTGGTAAACTAAATGTGAGATTGTAGTCCATCACAGCAGTGAGCTTGGGACAATGGCTACTTTACAACACACACAGACCATGGGGAACAAAAAGTAGCCACCCTTCAAAAGGACAGTGACAGCACCAATTCAGGGATGATTGGAAGATATCAGGCCTCGTTCACATGGGTGGCAGCTTCCACCGCCCTCTGAAAAAGTGATCTGCAGTGAATTGCTTTTCAGAGGAGGGTCCAGTAGTGGTTGTCTGGCATTCAAGTGGAGACACTTGCCTCCTGAATGCATTTTTTTTATCCCAGTGGGGAATTTCTTTTGGATTACCTGTACACGGTTTCCAAGCAGCACCACCTGTCAAATGCGTTATGCAGTATGTTTGCCTGCAGTGCTGACATCACAGCAAGCCACCGAGGGGGCAGTAAACTAGATCAACCGCCTGGTTTTACAGGGCCCTTTCTGGTAAAACCCCAGTCAGGGTTGCTGTACAGGGCCCCATACTTTGTATAGGCAACCCTGCACATCAAATACAATTATTCAAATACAGAATACAAAGTACATTTTTATTGCAGAAGGAACCAACATATCCATCTTAAAGTTAATATACCATTTTCTCATTAAATAAAAGATTGCAGCATGACCTTTGTAGTGCAGAAGTCTTGTCTGGATTTTGTGCACTGCAGCAGTGTGGAACCTGCTTTCCACTCAGAAAAGCTGTGTGTACACTTGAAGTTCTTGATATTTTCTTTAAAATGCAGTCTCACTTACCAACACTGAAGAGTCTGATACAAGTGTGTCACCTACAGCACTGCATAATGCTGGATCCAGCAGAGAACTCAATTCTGTAGCCAACATGGAACTCTCATCCCTGATGTCCATTGCACCTGCTGGAAATTAGGAGAGTCAGAATGCACCATGAAGATGAAGTTGGGCAGTACAGGTATGAACAATCACAAAATAGCACAAATTATGTGATCATGACCCCAGGACCTTCCTTAGCTGGATCACAAGGTACAATGGCTAATATAATCACCACTTTTCATTAATACAGATACCATGGCTCTACTGTATATACACACACACCAAGAATCCTGTTTCCTGTAAAAGATTACTTATTCCATATAATAGTATAGCAAACAAGCAGAATAATTCTGGTATCATACTGGACACCACATTAGCTGTGTGATTCATTGTGGACGCCCAAGTGCCTCTCTCCACACAAAAAAAAACCCAAAAAGAACATCTTGAAGTTAAGCTAAATGCTGAAGCAGAAAGAAATAATTTAATGGAAGCAAATTGCAGTTTTTTGGTGTTACAGATGACATAGTAATCTGAAATAAAGCTAAAAACAAACCCCCCCCTACCACACAGCCTGTAGCTTGATCAGCACAGCCAGCCAAGTACTAATGAGCAGATGCTCAAGCTTCATATCATGTCCTACCCACCTGACCTCATCATCCGCTAATTCTATTGGCTTCCATAGTATCCAGGAGGTATATGTGTTGCCAACACCCCCCTCCCCCCTGACTGAGACTTGACTTTGCATTGGAGTCATTATTTTCAAAAATTTTCAATCATAAATAGATAGCACATGTTAATGCATCACATGCATCCATGTGTACTAGCAACATTTTAAACTTAGGCTAATCTGTGTGCCTGTGTTGACATGAATGAAAATGCATAGGCGTGAATGGGCCCTATGGACTCACATCAATCACATCACAATGTGGTGCATATTTCATATTGAAGAGCATTACATAGCTTAGTTTTTAATGGAATATGAGTGCACTTCAATGCAGGAAAAACAGAGTGCACAGAGCATTTTCATCTGTATTCTGGGGTGAGCTATAACATGCACTACTAAGTACACTACCAAGCAAGTAACAATGAATCATAATGCACTGCAACACACATATACAGTGCATTACTGTACATTACTGTAACGTGCAACATACTGTTGTGTCATATTTTAACGTATGAACAATAGAAAAATGTCACCAGCACACCATAAGTTGCCAATTGCCAATAGCTGTATCTCATTGGCTGTCAAAAAAATTAATATAAAGGCCAATGAGATACAGCTATTGGCAATAAAATATTTTGCTTTTTCAACTTATGGTGTGCTTGTGACATGTTTCTATTGTTCATGTGTGGCAGCGCCATCCGCAGTCATTTCCAGCACCCATCCTCATCATGTGGGAATCCCGGTAAGGAGTGCGCTATGGTTCCTCTTTCTGTATATTTTAACGTATGGCGCCATACAGTGTACACAACCCATTCACACCATCTCTAAGATGCTGTAAACGGGCTTGATGATGGGAAAGTTATTTCCCCGATACCGGAACTTCCGATCAAAGGGAGATTTCCTCTGACCGGCAGTGCCGCAAGGGAACATGGAGCCGGCTTCCCGGCCAATCAGGGACCTGGGCGGGGGGAGGGTAATGGCCCAACTGCATGGAGCCGGGTTTCCGAGCAATCAAGAAGCCGGGCGCCGGGTAATATCACGCTGCCCGGATTCTTGTTTGCCATAGAAGCAGGCGCCATGCTAGATTGCTAACAGAAGTACCGGTATCGGCAAGTACCGAGAGATAAATATATTGGTACTCATACTCGATACTCAACTGAAAAACTGATATCGGTGCATCCCTACATACTGTATTCAGAAAATGCACTCCTCGCTTTTTCAAAGCGGTAATAATTGGCATCTGCACTGCAACATTGGTGTATGAAAGGCCTAGTACACAAGGATCAGTCTTAAGGTGCCCATACATTGCTCGATTCTCGTACGAGTGTGCAGTGTGAACGAAGACGTGCAACCGTTTCTACTGCACGCTAAGGTCTTGCGATGGTTGTAAAGTGTATGGCCACCTTTAGCGCTTGTTCACACCATGTCTGGACCAGATCCAGTGCACAACAGTTTTTGTCCTATGGTATTTCTGGGCTCTGTTTACACCAGTGCAGTCTCTTCTGCTGCGGGGGGATACTGCATGCACTATATTTTTCTGGTCTGGAACACTCTAAAGTGCATGTACATGCATAAAAGCATCATGCAAGCACACTGGACTGCACCTGAAAGGCCATTTTATGCTACAAAAAAAAACACACTGGAAAGTGTCAAAAATGCATTAAAAAAACGCACTGCACTGTGTTTGCAGAACTGCTCTGGATCTGGTCCGGACATGGTGTGAACAAGCCCTCAGGAGGTTTGATGCATGCTAAGTCATCCTTCTAAAAGTATGTGCCCAGCCACATTCTGCTTAATATCTGGCAATACATGCATTTAGGATGTGTTTGGAATACGGGGTCTGTATATAATAAAAGAATGATCCTCAGCTCCATCTAGTGGCTATAATGTGGTAATTTCCTAATTCACTTTCTTCTTTATAAATCTACCTATTGAAGAACATTTGACCAGAAGAGAAAATACACCAAGAACATTCGATTTGGGGGAGGGGGAACATTGTGAAAGCCATGTGATGGAGCTCCCCTGCTATTATGGAATGTTCTCTGCAGCATTACACTGATGAATGGCTCATAAAATGCATGCACAACATGAACAAAACACTGCTGTATCCTGTTTAGAGCAGATAGCAGTATCCACTGCTGCTGTTACACTGTTGATTCACACAAGAGCTGCTATCTGTGTACCAGCAACATAGAGTGGGACTCCTTAGCATTACACCAGCCACACGCAGGCACAGCAGAGGAGTATCGGGAGATATTTTACCCCCAAGGTCTTAAAAAGTGTTTCTAAAGCCAAAGTTATTCCTGCTTTGGACAGCGTGGTAAGGGGTTTCTTTTTATTGCTGCCTGTGTGAGTTTCACTTTATTTGTTCCTTATTTGGACTGAAAACAGTTTAGGGGCTTATTCACAGCACATACAGTGCGTTCCAGCGCAGTTAGCTGCTGAACACACTGAATCGCATCCCAGCCGACTTCCTGCGTTCAGGGGCAGGAGGGGGCATGGCGATGCATTGCAGCCATGCCCCGTGCCCATAGTGCAATCGCCTGCACCGGAATGCGTGGCACATCAATGCCTGCGTTCTGGTCCAGTGTGATCAAAAAAAAAAATGCATTCAGCATTTTTTCAGATCGCACTGGACTAGAAAGCAGGCATTGATGTGCCACGCATTCTGGTGCGGGCGATCGCACTGCAGGTGTGGTGCCATTGACTTCAATGCACCACCACGCCCCTTGGCCCC